ATGAAATAGATGAGGAGGGGGGAGGAACAGAAGGAAGAAAGACAGAAAGAGAAAGGTGGAAAGAATGAAAGAGGTAGAAAGAAAGGAGAGAGAGAGAGAGAGAAACAAACAAAGAAAGAAAGAGAGAGAGAGATAAAGAAAGAGAGAAAGAAAGAAAGAAAGAGAGAGAGAGAGAGAGAAACAAACAAAGAAAGAAAGAGAGAGAGAGAGAGATAAAGAAAGAGAGAAAGAAAAGAAAGAGAGAGAGAGAGAGAGAGAGAGAGAAACAAAGAAAGAAAGAGAGAGAGAGAGATAAAGAAAGAAAGAAAGAAAGAAAGAAAGAAAGAAAGAAAGAAAGAAAGAGAGGAAGGAAGGAAGGAAGGAAGGGAGGAAGGAAAAGAAAGAAAGAAAGAGAAAAAAGAAAGAAAACAAAGGGAGAAAGAAAAGGGAGAGAAAGAGACAGAAAGAAAGAAAAGGGAGAGAAAGAAAGAGAGAAAGAGAGAAAGAGAGAGAGAAAGGGAGAAAGGAAGGAAGGCAGGAAGGAAGGAAGGAAGGAAGGAAGGAAGAAAGGAAGGAAGGGAGGGAGAAAGGAAGGAAGGAAGGAAGGAAGGAAGGAAGGGGGAGAGAGAAAGAGAGAGAGAAAGAGAGAAAGGAAGGAAGGAAGGAAGGAAGGAAGGAAGGAAGGAAGGAAGGAAGGAAGGAAGGAAGGAAGGAAGGAAGGAGGGAGGGAGGGAGGAATCTGCTGCGTAGAGCAGTCCCAGAGGGGCTACAGCATCCACCGAACGTTCTAAAGGCCTCGAGTTCTCAACAGAGGAGGGATCAGTCCTATGAGCTTGGGGGGAGATTAACTCTGACACCGCCCGACCCCACAGAGAGAACTAAGGTGATGGGAAACTTCCCAGAAGCAGCTAAAAGCATGTATTTTAACGTCATCTTCCACTATGCAGAACGGGGGGAACGACTGACCGGCACGGCCTCACTGCGCCAAGCACCAACCGTTGAAGATGTAGGCGGCGTTCAAGGCCAGCTGCCTCTGCTGCAGGACGTTCAGGTAGAAGGTGGCTCGGTCGCGGACTTCGTCGTCGCTGTCCATCATGCACCTGTCCAGCAAAGGAGAGCGCGGCGGTCAGCAAGGTGAGGAAGAAGGATTTGCTGCCAGAGGATGTAGTGATGGCCATGGGAACATATGGCTTAAACAGGGGATTAGACAGATTCATGGAGGAGAGGTCTATCAGTGGCTACTGGCCATGGTGACTAAAGGGAACCTCCACATTCAGAGGCTGTCAACCTTTGGCTGCCAGTGCCAAGAGGCAACATCAGGGGAAGGCCTCGGCCTCCCTGCCCTGTTGTTGGCCCTCCAGAGGAACTGGTTGGCCACTGGGTGAGACGGGATGCTGGACTGGATGGATTATTTGGTCTGATCCAGCAGGCCAGTGGTGCTCCGTATTCTTGGGGCGCAACTGCGGGAAGGCTTCTGGAGTCCTGGCCATGCTGGTGGACCTCCTGATGGCCCCTGGGTTTGGGCCACTGAGTGACACAGAGTGTTGGACTGGATGGGCCATTGGCCTGACCCAACATGGCTTTTCTTTTTATTGCATTTTAGATAAGGACAACAAACTACAATGAAAATAGGGGAGGGGAACTACATTTAAGGAGAAAGAAAAGATAACCACGATTAACTACGGTAAAAACCCAAGAGAGGAGATCATCAAATTAGCTTGTACACAATGCCACCCCTTAAAACGCTAACAATTTTATGAACTTAGTCTGATACGCTAATATAACTTTTAAATCTTAAATTTAGCTGTTGGGAAAAGACCCCTTAGCATCTCAATATTAACAACCGTATTTTCAAAGGCACAATTCAGAGTCCTTCAGCCTTCATTTTTTCTTATCCCGTCTTTTCCGCAGTTTATAAGGACTTTTAGGAGCCGCTGCCCCCTTTCTCAGACAGAGAGCCCTCTCGGACTCTATGGCTGTTCCGATGTTCTTATGAAAGGCGACAAAGATCGTGCAAGTGTGCTGAAACAGACAATCGCGGGCCTATCAAAAAACAGACCGGTTTCCTGCGATGTCCTGTCTCTCCCGTGCAATTGTTTTATTTATTTATTTAGATTTTTATCCCACCCTCCCCGAAGGCTCAGGGCGGCTAACAGAGGCATAACGCCAAGTAAAACACTGACTAAGAATACAAAATAAACTATTAAATAGTTAAACAGACTTCCGAATTTTAAAATCAAGATGGCGTTCTCGATGATATGACTACATAACAGTACATATCCCCACTGTTGTCCCCTAGGCACGTCCCGCTCCCTCTGATAGTACCCGCACCAGCAGTGGCAATGTGCGGAAATTATAGGGCATTGATGGAACAGTGGGGGTGGCGGCTCCTATGCGAAAGAGCTCCGTCTTACAGGCCCTATACGAGGTCCCGCAGGGCCCGGATCTCCTCCGGGAGCTCGTTCCACCAGATAGGAGCCGCCACCGAAAACGCCCTGGTCCTGGTCATCGCGAATTTGATGGTCTTGGGGCCTGGGACATCCAGGAGATTTTGGTTCCCCGACCGTAGTGCCCTTGGGGTAACACGTGGGGAAAGGCGGTCCCTTAGGTAGGCTTTCCCACTTTGACCTTCAGCTAGACGGTCTCCCTTCGTAGCTTAAGAACATAAGAACATAAGAGAAGCCAATGCTGGATCAGGCCAAAGGCCCATCCAGTCCAACACTCTGTGTCACACAGTGGCCAGAAATACCAGGTGCCATCAGGAGGTCCAGCAGTGGGGCCAGGACATTAGAAGCCATCCCACTGTTGACCCCCCCAAGCCCCAAGATGACAGAGCATCACTTGCCTTATTGGTTTTTAAACTGCTACCCACTGGCCAAACTTCCTTTGGCGTAAATTAAGGCAGCTTCTGCCTTTAAAGCCGCTGACTTTGATTCAATTACCGGCTTTAAAGATAAAGCTAATCAAAGCTGGCCTCGAGCCAGTCACGGGCCGGGGCCGAAGTCAGCTCAGCCCCCTGAACGCCGAGAAGAGAAAAACATTCCCATAGATGGCTTTTTTGGATTACATTCCCAGGTAAAAAGGTAAAGGTTTCCCTTGCTCGAAAGCCAGTCGAGTCCGACTCTAGGGTTGCGGTGCTCATCTCTGTTTCAAAGCGGAAGAGCCAGTGCTGTCTGAAGACGTTTCCGTGGTCATGTGGCCGGCATGACTAAACACCAAGGTGCACGGAACGCTGTGACCTTCCCACCGAAGTGGTACCTATTTATCTACTTGCAATTTCTTGCTTTCGAACTGCTAGGTTGGCAGGAGCTGGAACTAGAGACGGGAGCTCACTCCGTCATGCGGCACACTCGGGTCTCGAACTGCTGAACAACCGACCTTCCACAGCCTGCAGTTCAGCGTCTTAACCACTTGAGCCACCGCAGCTCCTACATTCCCGGACCCACCTGTAAATCCCAAACCCAAAGGAAGATGGGGGGGGGGCGGGCTCCATCTCACCTCTGCAGGAGCACCAGGACGCTGGGCAGGAGGTTCTCGTTCTGGGCACCAAACTTGGCCAGGGCGCTCACGGCAGCTGAAAGAGGAAACGGAGTCTGGAGCCGGAGGCGAGCGGACTTCTCCAAAAACTGCCCCCCTGCCCGGAACCGATTTCCTTCCCAGCTTAGATAATGGTCCCCCTAAGCCAGGGGTGTCGAACTCATTTGTTACAAGGGCCGGATATGACCTAAATGAGACCTTGCTGGGTCGGGCCGTGTGTGTCATAAAATGTAATGCCAGGCAGTGGAGATATAAACTTTATAAAGGACACACACAAAGGGTTGTTTTTAACTTAAAATAAAAACATGCTTGAAGCATCAGCACTCTTGCAATATTTTGTTCATTTAACAGTGTCTGATCACTGACACCTCTTGCTCTGAATTATAGCATCAAAATGTCTGTGCTGTTGCAAACTTGAGTATGCTGTTCAGGTGTGTGTATCTGTAAGCTGTTAACCTACGATGATGCAGCAGCAGCAGAGCTGGAAGAAGAAGTAGAGGACAGCCAGTTCTACTGCGGGCCTGATAGAACCCTGGGCCGCATGTTTGACACCCCTGCTGTAAGCAGTGGAGTCTTGTGAGCAAAAATGCTACTTTGTGAGCTCCTGGCATTAAGGCTGCGAGCGAGCGATTTGGCTACTGCACAGATTAGTTTGCTCCGGAGCCATCCTTTCCTGAGCGGAGACAAAAACGTGTGAGCCGGAGGCTAAACAACTGTGAGCTCGCTCACACCGACTCAGCTTAGAGGGAACACTGAGCTCAGACCTCGCGGTTGTGCTCGAAGTCCTGCGGGGGCCCCGCGGCCGTGGGAACCCGGACTCACCGGCCCTGACGGCTTCGTTCTCCAGCACCACCCGGTTGAAGATGAAGCGGATGTACTTGGAGGGGGCGGGGGTCCTGGGCCCCTCCTTGCCCAGCAGGTGGAGGATCTTGGTGGCCAGCACTGTGTGCTCGCAGTCCTCGATGAACTCGCAGAGGTGCGCCAGGCCCGACTCCTTGCTCTCGGGGTTCTCCTCGATGATGCCGATGATGCAGTCCACGATGGCGCGCTTGTACTCAAAGCCGCCCTGGGGGGCCGGGGTGGGGAGAGAAGCACAGGAGACTCAGGTTACAGCCTGGTCCACACGGTCACTCCGGACCAGGTATGCCCCCCATGCTCCCTACCGAGTTCTGGACTCACAAAAAGAATCACGTTTGGACCTGTGGGACACCCTCCTGAGAGCCAGCAGGGTTCGGTGGTCGTGGTGTTGGACTAGGATCGGGGAAACCCCTACGGGAAGTGGGGACACCGTAGAACCGACTGACAATTATATTGCGGTTTTTGATAGGCAAAATATGTGAAATTTACAGAGACGCAATACGCAAATAGATTTTTTTTACAGAGATGCAATACACAAATGGACTATGGTCGGGGACTCAACATCGACTGGTAACCCCAGGTCCCAACGATATTAAATTTGCTGTTACCAGGGCCAGGGCGTTTTCGGTGGTGGCTACTACCTGATGGAATGAGCTCCCGGAGGAGATCCGGGCCCAGGGCCAGGGTGTTTTCGGTGGTGGCTACTACCTGGTGGAATGAACTCCCGGAGGAGATCCGGGCTCAGGACCAGGGTGTTTTCGGTGGCGGCTCCTACCTGGTGGAATGAGCTCCCGGAGAAGATCCGGGCCCAGGACCAGGGTGTTTTCGGTGGCGGCTCTTACCTGGTGGAATGAGCTCCCGGAGGAGATCCGGGCCCAGGACCAGGGTGTTTTCGGTGGCGGCTCCTACCTGGTGGAATGAGCTCCCGGAGGAGATCCGGGCCCAGGGCCAGGGTGTTTTTGGTGGCGGCTCCTACCTGGTGGAATGAGCTCCCGGAGGAGATCCGGGCCCAGGGCCAGGGTGTTTTCGGTGGCGGCTCCTACCTGGTGGAATGAGCTCCCGGAGGAGATCCGGGCCCTGCGGGACTTGGCGCAGTTCCACAAGCCTGTAAGACAGAGCTCTTCCGCCAGGCTTTTGAGTAGGAGCCGCCACCATCACTATACCACCACCGTACCACCACCACTAAATGGAGTGGGTGTCATCGGGGAACGAGACGGCCCTGGGAGGAAGGACGGATCGCTGTACCACCTGGAGTGTACCGTGTCGCTCTGGGACCACTTTGTCCTGTGTGACCCCATCTGTTATTTGTGACATTGAGAGCACTTGTATTTTTATATGAATGATTGTTTTATTGCTCGTTTTATCCTGTTTTTACCTGTTGAATCTTGGCATATGTGCCTCATTTGTTAGCCGCCCTGAGCCCATCCGGGGAGGGTGGGGCATAATTTTTTTTTAAATTTACGTTTTTTAATCGAGTAATGATAACTGTAACATACATAATAACATGAGTGAAAAACTTTTCAGTTTGGTTAGTTCTTGTGCTACTTAAATAAAGCGATTACAATTACTGAATGAACTTGTGATAAAAAATTTTTGAACAATACTTTATACAATGACCAGTATGAAACATAAGAGAATAGATATAGTGTGGTATTACGAAGTGACTGAAAGTAGCTTTTTTGAGTGATTTTAGTGGTATGACCCCAAAATAGATATATTACCATATCAATGCAATGATGAATGACCTTGCAACTAGAAAACCAGGAATCCTGTTAGCCAATGAATTTATTATATTAAAAGTGGTCTTATTGTGTCTGGCATACTTCTTTGTGTTGTGTATCTTCAGAACCATTTCAAGCAGTCTTTCCAAGAGGGAGGTATATATTCTTCTCCCGACAGGTAGGTCAAGATTGGAAACCACTTTGCACTGAACGTCATGTTTGGGTTATTTAATAATAAAATAAATAAATACATAAATTTTGTAAGAAGTATTTCAACAGATATCATAAAGGTGTAAGAGGAAAAAAACCAAAACTTTGCATTTTCCACGTTTTTGTCTGCGTAACTGTATGCTTATATGTTTGTCTGAATTATAATAAAATACAATTTTTTCTCGGGGGAGGGGATCGGAGAAACCCAGGTTCGAACCTCCACTCTACCAAGGAAGAAGAAGAGATTGGATTTATCCCCCGCCCTTCACCACCCAAAGGTGTCTCGGAGCGGCTTACAAACTCCTTTCCCTTCCCCTCCCCACAACAGACACCCCGTGAGCAATGCTCCCTCTAAGCTGTGGAGTCTTGTGAGCAAAAATTCTACTTTGTGAGCTACTGGCATTGAAGTTGTGCATGAGCCATTTGGCTACTGCATAAATTAGTTTGCTCTGGAGCCGTCTTTCCTGAGCTAAGACAAAAAAGTGTGAGCCGGAGGCTAAAAAACTGTGAGCTAGCTTACACTAACTCAGCTGAGAGGGAACACTGCCCATGAGGTAGGTGGGGCTGAGAGAGAGCTCTCTCGGCAACTGCCCTTGAAAGAACAGCTCTGAGAGAACTTTTGACTGACCCAAGGTCACACCAGCAGCTGCATGTGGGGGGGGGGAGTGGGGAATCAAACCTAGTTCTCCCAGATTAGAGTCTGGCGTTCTTAACCACTACACCAAACTGGCCCTCAAAGAAGAGATTGGATTTATCTCCCACCCTTCACCACCCGAAGGCGTCTCAGTGCGGCTTACAATCTCCTTTCCCTTCCCCTCCCCACCACAGACACCCTGTGAGGTAGGTGGGGCTAAGAGAGCTCCCTCGAGGACTGCTCTTAAGAGAAGAGGAATTTGGATTTATACCGTGCCCTTCGCTTGGAGTCTCAGAGCGACTTACAGACTCCTTTCCCTTCCCTTCCCCACAACAGACGCTCTGTGAGGTCGGTGGGGCTGAGAGAGCGCTCCTGAGAACTGCCCTTGAGAGAACAGCTCTGAGAGAACTTGTGACTGACCCAAGGTCACACCATTAGCTGCAAGTGGAGGAGTGGGGAATAAAACCTGGTTCTCCCAGATGATGAAGAGATTGGATTTATACCCCGCCCTTCAGTACCCGAAGGAGTCTCAGAGCGGCTTACCGTCTCCTTTCCCTTCCCCTCCCCACCACAGACACCCGGTGAGGTAGGGAGCTTCCTGTCTCCGCCTGACCTACCTCGCGGGGTGGTGGTTCTGAGGATAAAAGGGAGGAGAGGGAAATGACGTCAGTCGCCTTGGGTCCCCATTGGGGGAGAAAAGGTAGGGTATGAATGAAGTGAATAAACGGAAGATTCAAATCGTTGCTGTTCACAGCAACTCCAGCCACTCACAACCAATATACTCTTGTCTTGAGGGATGCCATAATCAGTGAACTGTATGGAGAAAAAAGAAAAAGGAAAGCTTCTAGTTCTCATGGATGTGGGGAAAGAAACACTAAGAAGACCTAGCGTTTAAAAGAAATCGGGTGACAAAGCAAATGGGATTTTGTGGGATTTTGTGGGATTTCTACTGCGCTATTTTAGCCCGTGCTCCGAATTGTTTTGAAGGACCGCTAAACGTGTTTTTTCTCCACATTTCGAGTGGAATCACTGGAGGATGCAGAATGTCTCTGTATCTTCCAGACCCACAAAACTTTCACCAACAATTTTTTTTATTTCATTTCCCAAATGTAACATGTAACAGTGAGAAACTATAACAGCATTATATTGACCAAAATAAAATTAGAATTGCTTTGATACAATCAACTAGCCTTAAATAAAAACACATGCAAGTGTTGTTATCGATTAGCAACCTTTGTATGTTAACTATTACTTCAGCGATATTTTCAGAAACAGAGCCAGTTTGTCTTTAACAAAAGAGGGAACCACTTCTTTTTCTGAAAGAAACCGAATTATTGGGAACCGTTTGCCTGGTTGCTGCAATTAGAAGGGAAATTATTTCTCTAATTCGTTCTGGTGGCAACGGATCGTGCCATATCTCCAATAAGATCGATTCAGGAACAAAAGGAACCACCAGATTGGTAATTTGGCTTATTATCTCAAGTATCACCTTCCAGAAGCGCTGAAGGAGGAGATTGGATTTATACCCCGACCTTCACTACCCAAAGGTGTCTCAGAGCGGCTCACAAACTCCTTTCTCTTCCCCTCCCCACAACAGGCACCCTGTGAGGTAGGCGGGGCTGAGAGAACTCTCTTGAGAACTGTTCCTGAGAGAGCAGCTCTGAGAGAACTTGTGACTGACCCAAGGTCATCCAGCAGCTGCCAAGTGGAGGAGTCGGGAATCAAACTCGGTTCTCCCAGATTAGAGTCTGTGCGCTTAACCACGACACCAAACTGAATGATCAGGCAATCCCACCAGCAATACCAGAATGCCCCAAGGTGCCCACAGCCCTTCCAACACAGTGGTTGATGCCAAGTATATTAAAGCCAACACTGCCATAAAGAAGGTATTCCTTTTGTTTATCCAGACCTTCAGTACCTTTAGCCCAGTTTTCTCTCTTCTGACTGGCCGCAGCTCTCCAGGGTCCCAGGCGTAGAGTGACCCCCCCTTCCCCGACACCCACTGCCGGAAACCCCTTTACCTGGAGACGCCAGCCCCCGGGCCCTTCTTCAGGTACGGCAGCAGCCCTGCCGTGGATCCGTGAACTTCCCTTCGGCTTCCTGTCCTTGAGGAGTTACTGACCACCCCCAATGTTCCCTCTAAGCTGTGGAGTCTTGTGAGCAAAAAAAAATTCTACTTTGTGAGCTACTGGCACTAAAGTTGTGAGTAAGCAACTCGGCTGCTGCATAAATTAGTTTGCTCTGGAGCCCTCCTTCCTGAGCTAAGACAAAAATGTGTCAGCCGGAGGCGAAAAAACTGTGGGCTGGCTCACACTCACTCAGCTTAGAGGGAACTCTGACCCACCACCCCCGCAAAGACGCATCCCGAAGGCCTCTGGTCCCCCCACGCGGCCACTGCAGCCGGCAACCAAACTTACGTCGTCCCTGAGCATGTTGGAGAGGAAGGTCATCATCACGATGTGTTTGCGCGGGTACTTCTGGCAGAGCGCGCTGATGGCCTGGACCACCACCACCTGCGAGGGCAGAGAAACAGACACGTTTATTAAACGATAGGAGCAGCCAGTGTGATGCGGCGGCAAAAAAGGCCAATGTGATCTTGGGGGTGTATCCGACAGAGGCGTAACATCCAGATTGCAGGATGTCATAGCCCCACTGTAAGGAAGCAAGCAAACTGGAGGGGGGGAGGGAGACAGAATGGTGAACCCACTCAAGCACTAGGATACGTAAGCAACCACAGTCACTTTTATACTCAGGTATTATCCCAAAATGGAGCTGCGGTGGCTCAAGCGGTTAAGACGCTGAGCTGCAGGCTGTGGAAGGTCGGTAGTTCAGCAGTTCGAGACCCGGGTGCCGCATGACGGAGTGAGCTCCCGTCTCTAGTTCCAGCTCCTGCCAACCTAGCAGTTCGAAAGCAAGAAATTGCAAGTAGGTAAATAGGTGTTTAGTCATGCTGGCCACATGACCACGGAAACGTCTTCGGACAGCGCTGGCTCTTCGGCTTTGAAACGGAGATGAGCACCGCAACCCTAGAGTCGCATTCGACTGGCTTTCGAGCAAGGGAACCTTTACCTTTACCTTTATTATCCCAAAATACACAAAATTACATACAAGGCATAGTAGCCAATACTGTACAATATCTCAGCGATATAATAAGACTTGACAATTTATACTGCTGATAGCCAAGGAACGATCACAAGGACGCTGCAGGTTGCAATGCTAATAGCAGTGGAGCAGTAATAGCAGTAAGACAAACATTACAAAGCAGCCGCCTTTCGCTTGGTTTCGTATCAAGAATTCATCGGAAGCAAATCAACTCTCAGTATTATACAGACAGGTCCAATATGAGAAATCTTCAGAGTTGATTTGCTTCTGATGAAGTCTTGATACGAAACCAAGCGAAAGCCGGCTGCTTATTATATCGCTGAGATATTGTACAGTATTGGCTATTATGCCTTGTATGTAATTTTGTGTATTTTGGAATAATACCTGAGTATACCTGCTTGGAAAAGGATTTGCCTTTTCTCTGGGCTCAGGTTGTATCCAATGTTCCCTCTAAGCTGTGGAGTCTTGTGAGCAAAAATTCTACTTTGTGAGCTACTGGCCATTGAAGTTGTGAGCCAGTGATTTGGCCGCTGCATAAATCAGTTTGCTCTGGAGCCCTCCTTCCTGAGCGAAGACCAAAATGTGTGAGCCGGAGGCTAAAAAACTGTGAGCTGGCTCACACTAACTCAGCTTAGAGGAAACACTGGTTGTATCTATTGATTGCATGGGCTCAGGGCGGCTCACAGCACAGATGCAACAATAAATATGCCATTAAAAACCAATTAAACAAAAACAGGATGGCAGGGAAAAAAGAGCATCGCTCCAGAGAAGCCGAACACACTTCTTGTTTGGTGTTAGCGGGATCGAAGGCATCTGTAGGCCTGCTATGGGCAGGGGAGGCTGAGAGGGTAAAAAAAAAAGTCCGTTGCCTCCACCAAAGGCCTGGCGGAAGAGCTCCGTCTCGCAGGCTCATGTCCGCTCCCTCCTTAGGGAGACACGGGACGCTGGCCCGGCAGTGAGAAAGGGGGGACAGGACAGCCCGACAGGCGGCCAAGGCTGACCTTGAACTCGTCGGAGATCTCGGACACGAAGGACGAGATCTGCTTCATGAGCCTGTCCACGCTGCTCTCGCTGCCCGTCTTCAGGAGGGTGGTGATGGCCAGGGTGGCGATGCTGCGGTTCGAGTCGGTGATCAGGTTTTCCAGGTCCAGGTTGCAGGCCGTCACGGCGGAGGGGTGCTTCATGGCCACCTGTGAGAACCAGCCCGGGAGGAGGAGGAGATCGGATTTGTACCCCGCCCTTCACTTGGGAGTCTCGGAGCGGCTTACAGACTCCTTCCCCTTCCCCTCCCCACCACAGACACCCTGGGAGGTAGGCGGGGCTGAGAGAGCTCTGACGGAAACTGCTCTTTTTCAAGGACAGCTCTGATCAGAACTACAGCTTGTTCAAGGTCATCCAGCAGCTGCAAGTGGAGGAGTGGGGAATCAAACCCCGTTCTCCAAGATTAGAGTCCACACACTTAACCGCTACACCAAACTGGAAGAAGGAGGAGGAGGAGGAGATTGGATTTATTCCCCGCCCTTCACTCAGAGTCTCAGAGCGGCTTACAAACTCCTTTCCCTTCCCCTCCCCACAACAGACACCCCTGTGAGGTCAGCGGGGCTGAGAGAGCTCTTGACAGAAACTGATCTTTTTCAAGGACAGCTCTGACAGAACTTGTGACTGACCCAAGGTCACACCAGCAGCTGCAAGTGAAGGAGTGGGGAATCAAACCCGATTCTCCCAGATTAGAGTCCCCGCACTTAACCACCGCACCAAACAGGCAACCAGGGGGAGCTTCATGGAGCGGAAGACCCCCTTGCAGGGGAAGCCAAACGCCAAGCACAAAAATCGACGGTGACGGTGACGAAATGATTGACGTGGCATTGCCCAGGGTGGGCTCCAGAAGTGGGGGTGCTGGGCGGTGGTCGGGTACCCAGAGGCTCACTTGCCCCAACACCTCCCCCATTCTCTCTTTGCAAGGAGCACCCGAGAGCAATGCAGGCAAGGGGAGAGACACCACAGCTCTGCACGCGTCTCTTCCAAGTAACGGCAGACCACAGGGAGGACTTGAAACGACAGCTTGAAACAGGAAGTGCCAAGGCAGGATTACAGCTGAACGTCAAGGAGACAGAGGTAGTGACCAATGCTCCCTCTAACCTGTGGAGCCCTGTGAGCAAAAATTCTCCTTTGCGAGCTACCAGCATTAAAGTTGTGAGTGAGCCATTTGGCGACTGCATCAATTAGTTGGCTCTTGAGCCCTCCTTCCTGAGCTAAGACAAAAAGGTGTGAGCCGGAGGCTAAAAAATGGTGAGCTAGCTCACACTCACTCAGAGGGAACACTGGTAGTGACCAATGTTCCCTCTAAACTGTGGAGTCTTGTGAGCAAAAATTCTACTTTGTGAGCTGCTGGCATTAAAGTTGTGAGCAAGCATCTTGGCTACTGCATAAATTAGTTTGCTCTGGAGCCCTCCTTCCTGAGCTAAGACAAAAATGTGTGAGCTGGAGGCTAAAAACCTGTGAGCTAGCTCACACTAACTCAGCTTAGAGGGAACCCTGGCAGTGACTACTGGGGAATGACACCATTTTAAGGCAGGCAGTTAAGAAACTGAGATTGTTCAACGTTTTCTTTTCCGTCAACCAAAAGGCAGACGGCCAACCGAGGACTCAAAAGGCGGCTAAGCCTGGGAAGGACAGGCAGGCCGGAGCTAGAAGAGACTCTTTAAGTGGAAGGATGTGTCTCACCAGTGACCAAGACCAGGCTAACGCATTGTCAGGTCTGACTGACCTTGGGGTTCGCTTCAGTAGATAAGATTGCAGCTAGCCAGCAGACAGGAAACTCTCAGCACACGGCAAATATCCTTAAAAAGCTCATTTCGTTTAATTGAACATAACCACTCAAACACTCAGGATGTATGCAGTGCAGAAATCATCCAACCTATGAGCAGTTGGCAATGAAACATTTAAAATGCAGAGTTACGGATGGCAATTCTAAAAAGAGAAGCTGCAGCTTCTTATATGACAAGTCCTCGTAGACGGTTCAGTAGTGAATCACCATAGAACAGAATCCAGTTCCATCTCCTGAGGCAGCTTATCAACCCAATGTCCAAGGATACTCTGGTGCCTCCTGAAAGGTTAATCAGCATCTCCTGATCTGGGCTCATGCCACTCCCTTGAGATAACCGAGGCTTGCAGCTGCCGGCAATTACCCCCACCAGGCTGCCTTCCTCCTCCAAGGATGGATCCTGTCAAACTTATGACCCAATCATCAGGTCTTAGTAAATTATAGGCTCATTCAGCCCTCATCCCTTACACGCATCATTTCTGTACGGGTGTGAAAGTTGGACAAGAAGGAAGACTGACGGGAAGGAAGTGGATTCCTTTGGAATGTGGTGCCCAATGCTCCCTTCTAAGCTGTGGAGTCTTGTGAGCAAAACTTCCACTTTGTGAGCTGCCGGCATTAAAGTGGTGAGCGAGCGATTGGGCTGCTGCGTCAATGAGTTTGCTCTGGAGCCACCCTCCCTGAGCCGAGACAAAAAGGTGTGAGCCGGAGGCTAAAAAGCTGTGAGCTAGCTCACACTAACTCAGCTTAGAGGGAACACTGGCTGGTGTCGGAGGAGAGCCTTATGGATAACGGAGACCACCAAAAATCAGCGGGTCCCAGATCGAATCCAGCCTCAACTCTCCCTTGCAAGCTAAAATGACTCGACTGAGGCTATTGTGCGTTGGTCACCTTATGAGAAGACTCACTGGGAAAGACAATCATGCTAGGAAAAGTGGAAGGCCCCCAGATGAACTTGCAAATTTTTACCCTGATTTAACTTTAGTTGCTGTAGATTTCCCGGGCGGTGTGGCCGTGGTCTTGGCGTTGCAGGACCTGACGTTTCGCCAGCAGCTGTGACTGGCATCCTCAGAGGTATAACACAGAAAGATGGAGGACTCTCTGTGTGACCTGCCTACCATTTTTCTTCTCACCTTGACACAGTGGAGCCTGAGCGGTGGGTGTTGCCGTCTGACACACTTCCGGGGATGTCAAGGGGCGTGACAAATGCAAATAAGTTATGCTAATGAGCTCCTGCACCTCCTTTCCTACGAAATGACCCCTGACGAGAACTGAGCACTGATCTTAAGTCTTATTCAGGCACAAGCTCTCCCTCCTCTGTGACGGCAGATCTGCACGTTCCCCTCCCCCCCATAGCTAGCAATCCAAAACAGTCCCGTGGAGCCTGAGCGGTGGGTGTTGCCGTCTGACACACTTCCGGTGATGTCAGGGGGTGTGGCACATGCAAATAAGTTATGCTAATGAGCTCCTGCACCTCCTTTCCTACGAAATGACCCCTGCTTACAGCACCACGGAGGCGTGTGTAAGGGATGAGAGAAATGAGCTTATAAATTGCTAAGCCTCAGTGATCAGAAAGGAGCCTAAGTTTGGGCAGGATTCTACCTTTAGGGAGGGGAGGCTGTGTGCCATGGCAATTACCAGCAGCTGCAAGGTTTCGTTATCTAATGGGAGCTTTGGTTAGACAGAGGTATTATTGTTGCAGGGCGCACCAGAGTTTCTTTGGACGTTGATGTGATGAATTGTCCCGAAAGACGTCCCAGATCGCCCCAAGCTGACTTGGCTATGGAATGTGCTGCGAGGAATGATTGGTGAAAAGCTGCAGCTTCCTTTTATGAATGGTCATTTTATCTTTGTAAGTTACGTGTTTTATCGCCAACAGCTTCAACGGGGGCTGTTTTCTGCTCTGCACACAGCCCGTGAGTGTAAAGACTGTTTTATCTATTAAATGAACTGTTTTTAACAAATATTTCCACTGCTGCCGGGAGCTGCGTCTGTGGTTGCATCGTTCATTTGCAAGCTGAAGCGAACCCCCCAAGGTCTGTTCGACCTGACAGCGTGCTAGATGGCGGGATGGGGAGCGGAGCAGCGAGAGGCCCTGCATCGGCAGCCGCTGCAAGGAACGGGGCCGGCTGTGGGGGTATCAGCTGGGGGAGAGGCCCAATGCTGGCTGGAGAGCCTTGGCGAGCCCACACTTTTGGAAAAAAACCCCCCCAATAAAGAGGTTGTGCTCCAGAGACACTGACCTTATTGAGAGTCCGCACCGCTGCATACCTCAAGACGGGCTTGGGGGAACTGCAGAAGAGCTGGAGCACTGGAAAGGAGCAAGAAGAATACACTTGAAAAGAGTGCACGGCGAGGTCCAGAGCCCTTAACCCTTTGCGGTGTGCATTTGCCTGGTGAATGATCTGTGCTGCTGGCCTTAATGGATCATAGAATCCTAGAGTCGGAAGGGACCTCCAGGGTCATCAACTGCACCCTGCCTGGTGGAACATCCCTGCCTTGCGTGCCCTGCAGAATGGCAACAAGTCCCGCGAGGGAGGGGGAGGAGGAAGAAGAAGAAGAAAGAAGAGGAGGGGGAGGAGATTGGATTTATACCCTGCCCTTCACTACCCAAAGGTGTCTCAGAGCGGCTTCCAATCTCCTTTCCCTTCCCCTTCCCAAAACAGACACCCTGTGAGGCAGGTGGGGCTGAGAGAGCTCTCTTGAGAACTGCTCTTGAGAGAAGAAGTGATTGGGTTTATACCCCACCCTTCACTACCCGAAGGAGTCCCAGAGCGGCTGACAAACTCCTTTCCCTTCCCCTCCCAACAGACACCCTGGGAGGCAGATGGGGCTGAGAGAGCTCTCTTGAGGACTGCTCGAGAGAAGAAGTGATTGGATCTATACCCTGCCCTTCACTACCCAAAGGAGTCTCAGAGCGGCTTACAGACTCCTTCACCTTCCCCTCCTCACTACTGACACCCTGTGAGGTCGGTGGGGCTGAGAGAGCTCTCTTGAGGACTGCTCTTGAGAGAAGAAGAGATTGGGTTTCTACCCTGCCCTTCACTACCCAAAGGAGTCTCAGAGCAGCTTACAAACTCCTTTCCCGTCCCCTCCCACAACAGACATACACCCTGTGAGGTAAAAGAAGAAGAGATTGCATTTATACCCCGCCCTTCACTACCTGGAGTCTCAGAGCGGCTTACAGATGCCTGTCCCTTCCTCTCCCCACAACAGACTCCCTGTGAGGTGGGTAGGGCTGAGAGAGCTCTCTCGAGGACTGCCCTGGAGTGAACAGCTCTGAGAGAAGTTGTGACTGGCCCAAAGTCACCCAGCTGGCGTTCATGTGGAGGAGTGGGGAGTCAAACCCGGTTCTCCCAGATTAGAGTCCACGTTCCTAACCGCTATGCCAAACTGGCTTAGTTCTCCAGATACACAGCCCCGCCCTGTTCCTCGGCTGCTTCTCCCCTGCTCACCAGAGACGGCCGGCGCCAGTTCCCTGGCCGTGCAGTTCGGGAGATGGATGATCGCAGAGGCCGCCTCGTAAATCACCATCTCGTGTTTGTTCCGTAGGCAGCTTTCAATGAAATCGAACAGTGGGTTGTCGTGCCTGCCACCCAGAGAGAGAGAGAGAGAACTGGCGTTATGGATGACCAGAACGGGAAGCTGTTCATAATGTGGGTTCAGAAGGTGAGCGAGGGTCTAGTGCTGCCCAACGGCCTCAATTAGCCCACTGGGATCGCCAGGAGATGTTGACTCTCAGAGCGTAACGCTCTCTGAGGCGTATATGGGAAGAGGTGGTCCCTTAGGTACATTGGTCCCAGGCCATATAAGGCTCTGAAGGTAATGACCAACACCTTGAAGCCAAGCCGGTACTCAACTGGCAGCCAACGCAGCTGACAGAGCACATGCCGAATGTGAGCCCGCACGGGCGTCGCTGTATCTTAAAGAAGTGTGCGTGGACAGGAAAGCTGATACCCGGAATAAAACTTTTGTTGGTCTCAAAGCTGCCCCTGGACTTGGAACTTTGTTCTGCAGAGGCCTAAATTATGAGAAGAGACTTTTGTCGCCGCTTGCCAGTCAAGAACCGCGGGAACCGAAGGGCCCCTTGTCAGTATCGGACAAAGAGAGGTTTGACTCTTGACAGGTCAGCACACACACACCCCAATCTTGTCGGTGTCTTAAGGTGCGACTGGACTCAAATCTGGCTCTTCTACTGCAGACCCAACAAGGCCACCCTCTGAAACTGGTGGGAAGGGTCTTCCTCGCCAGTCTGCTTTCTCGTGTCCCGCTGCTGTGCTCGGAAAGGGAAGCGTGTCCTTCTCCGGCCTAGAATCGTAGAGCTGGAAGGGACCTCCAGGACAACGCTCCCTCTATGCTGTGGAGTCCTGTGAGCAAAAAATCTACTTGGTGAGCGACTGGCATGAACGTTGTGAGCGAGCGATTGGGCTGCTGCGTAAATCGGGTTGCTCTGGAGCCATCCCTCCCTGAGCGGAGACAAAAATGTGTGAACCAGAGGCTAAAAAACGGTGAGCTAGCTCACACTCACTCAGCTTAGAGGGAACACTGCTCCAGGGCCATCTAGTCCAACCCCCTGCACAAGGCAGGGGATTCACAAACACCTCCCCCCTACACCCCCGGTGACCCCTGTTCCATGCCCAGAAGATGACAAAAAACCTCCAAGATCCCCTGCCAAACTGGCCTGGAGAAAAACGGCTTCCTGACCTCAAAGTGGCGATCGGCATTTCCCTGGGCATGCAAGAACTGAGCACACTGATGTGTGTTTAAAGGGTGCAGCTTGAACGCTAGAGCAAGTGGGAAGACTCCATTCAGCATGCTCCACGCCCCGTCCATCAGGCTGTTCGCTCTGCATTTTCTTCAAGCTGTACACACCCACGGCCCCTCGATCCCTGAACAGATGGAGGTTCCCAGAAACTGCTAGAAACCCAGAAGCCTTTCAGGGGTCCCCTTACAGGCTGCTGGTTTTGGATCTCTGTCCGAGACCAAGGCCCCTTACCCCTCTTCGGACTCCTTCAGGAGCCGGCTGGCTATCCGGATAAGCATGCAGTAGGCGAACTGGGACTTGAGGCCCGACTTCGTGAACTTGTTCAGCATCTTGGAAACGCCCAGACGGTCGTTCTTCCGGAGATGGTACAGCAGCCCCAAAGCGTGATACTGGCGCACCAGAGGAGAGGGGGGGGAAACACACACTGTCACAAAAAGATCTGTTATCGGCGCATGCCCGGAATACGAAGATTTGCCGTTCCCCGCCAATAGAAACATTTCCGTATCAATAGAACCAAGCTTGAGTCCAGGGGCACCTTTGAGTCCAACGAAGTCTAATTCTAAGTCCTTGGCAGATTCCCAGCCGGATACCAGCCAGGGCCCACCCTGCTTAGCTTCCCAGATCTGACGAGTTCAGGCTAGCCTGGGCTACCCACGCCAGGGCAGAGACAAACAGAGGGGGTCTGCCGCTGCCTGCCTCTGCGTAGCAACCCTGGACTTCCTTGGTGGTCTCCCACCCAGATACTAGCCAGCACCCACCCTGCGGAACTGTGAGAGGTCCCGCGGGGCCCTGATCTCCTCCGGGAGCTCGTTCCACCAGGCGGGGGCCGCCACAAATCTCACTCCCTCTAGCAGAGGTTCAAGGGTCTCACCCCAATGGAAACATATTAGCACCCAGTAGCCCACCCGGCTCCAAGTCCAACGTTTGATGACCAAAAAAAAAGGAAAGGAAAGCCTTCATTTTTAACCTCCTCTGGGACACCTGGTCACCAGTGTTCCTTCTAAGCTGAGTGAGTGTGAGCTAGCTCAGAGTGTTTTAGCCTCCGGCTCACAGATTTTTGCCTTTGCTCAGGAAGGATGTGGCTCCAGAGCAAACTAATTGATGCAGTAGCCAAATCACTTGCTCAGAACTTTAATGCCAGTAGCTCACAAAGTAGAATTTTTGCTCACAAGACTCTATAGCTTAGGGGGAACATTGGTCACAGGCACTAACTGGACCTTGCAACCAGATTCACCTGAGCCCAACACTGGTCAGACATATGTAAATGAATATTGGGCAGAGGCAGGGGTCATCTCCTGCGGGAGCGCACAGGAGCGGCGCACCGGCAGTAAGGAGCCCAGGGGGCGGGCACATGCAACAAGCCCCACCCCCTGCTCCCAGCAGCCCTCAGTCAGAGCAAGAAGCAGCCAGATAAGCTGCAGAGCCCCCCCCCCCCCCGGGCCGCCTTCAGGTACAAGCTCTCCCTCCTCTGCAAGAACAGATCTGCACATGTTCCCCCACACCCACAATAGCTAGCAATCCAAAACAGTCCAGTGGAGCCTGAGCCGTCTGACATATGCAAATAACTTATGCAAGTAAGTTATGCTAATGAGCTCCTGCACCTCTTTTTCCACAAAAGGACCCCTGGGCAGAGGTAATGGAAGGTGGAGCTGATTGAGATCCACATGCTCGGCCGTTGCATGGGAAGCCCAACCAGCCTCAGCGGCCCAAGGTCATTCCTAAAAAACAAGTCTTCACGGAGTCAGTGCTAATGGTCTACAGGTGGCCTTATCAGCCCTTCCCCAGCTCAAGCATGTCAGCTAAGCACTGGCTTCTGCAAGGAACTACACACGATGAACCACTAAAAAAAATAAAATAAACCCCCCCCCCTCCGGTTACTACAGACCCTCCTTAGCAACTTATTTTAAAACCCGCCTAACGCCATGCAACCACCTTTCCACCTCCTCCCACGGCACACGTTTGCAGCGACGAGGCCGTACGCTCCCGCGTCCCTCGGGCGCGTACCTGCACCATGATGTTGTCGCTAGAAGCGGCTTCTTGGGCTTCGTTGATCCACCGCTTGACCACGTCGTAGTTGATCTTCACCAGGTGCTGGAAAACAATGGCCGAGAATCGGTAACGGCGGCCGCAGCCCTGGCCCACGTCTGGCCCTGCCTGGTGTGCGACTAAGAGACGTTTAAATGGCAAAGACGGCTGCCACGCCCGATGAGACCTGAAGGGTACGGGCAGGAGACGCGTGTGTGGGAAGGGAGCGGGACAAAAACAGTGACTGCGCTGCACATCCTCTGTTACGTTGGCAGCCAGAACTTCAACTTGTTTCAGTGAACTAAGGGACGGCCTGTGGCGTCCTCTCATTAGGGAGGACTGGTTTTCCCTTTAAATGTGCTCTTTGCTTTTGTAAACGGGGTAGATTCGGCTGCCACCAGGAATTTAAGGATTTCCAAATCTTCTCTCTGTTTGTTTGCTGGTAAGGTGACCTATCCTGCCAACCTAGCAGTTCGAAAGCAAGAAATTGCAAGTAGATAAATAGGTACCACTCCGGTGGGAAGGTAACAGCGTTCCGTGCGCCTTGGCGTTTAGTCATGCCAGCCACATGACCACGGAAACGTCTTCGGACAGCGCTGGCTCTTCGGCTTGGAAATGGAGATGAGCACCGCAACCCTAGAGTCGGACTTGACTGGCTTTCGAGCAAGGGAACCTTTACCTTTACTTAAAGTGACCTAGAGTCGGAGCTTTTCAGGGATCTATGTGGTCCTGAGGAAAGACAGAACTAAATTCGGGGATTAACTCGAACAAGAGATGATTTATTGAAGTAAGAACAAAATATGAGGTTGGTTATTCTGTAACTATCTTGGATAAAGGGACCTGAACATATGTCTATCAAGCGTATCTCACACACAGTCTTTTTTTCCTTTCCTTTTG